AAGGAAAAATAAAGAAAGCCCAGTTGCCTTTTGAAAAAGCACCTTTGAGACATAAATGGACCATGGACCACACTCTATTCCTAAGAGGTCCGTCAAGGGGACGTGCATAAGCGCACCAGTGTGCCTACTGTCCCTGTCCTACTGTCCCCATTTATCTGTATTTACTTCCTTTGTTCATGTTCATGTTTATACTTATACCTGTTATTTTGTACATGTTTGAGAAAACAAAAAATAAAATAAAATAAAGTATCTCATTCTCAAAGTTCTTTTTGCTTAGACCAGGCTACTGGGCATTGCTAGTAGCTGTTCTAGGAGACTTGAGTTGCAATATTTGGCTTTCTTGAAATTGTTCATTTGATAAATTGCTGTCCACTCATTAATTATTCCCCTAAGCCAGCCTTTCCCTCACTTGCTGCAAAAACACAAGACAAAAAGAGTATCTCCTTCGAGTTGCATCTCCTTCAATGCAACATCTGTCAGCATTGTGGTGTGATCTGGAGTTATTATTTCTTTCAATTGGTCCTTGAAGTTATTGATGGTCTGCGGGTATTTAGTTTTAGGTGGACATCCAATGTTCAAACTGATGTTACCTGGTCAGGTAATGAAATGTCCGCAAACAACTAAGTTCAGAGAGCACCAAGGACTCCTGAATTCCTCTCACCCTGCAAGAGGATATTTATCTACTAGACCTCAATCTACATCACAATTTGCCATCAAGAAATACACAAAACACAGGGAATGGGCTCCTACATGTAAATTATATTTTTATTGAAAAGCAAAGAAGCCAGACATTAGAAACACAATTCTTTCCATGCTGAACAAAATAGCACAATTTTTTCCATTTATTCCTTTATGGAAATATGGAATCTCTGATAGTTCTTTTATTCCAAAATGAAGTGCTTTGGTGTAAATGTAGGAGTTGTAGATGATAATGGTAATTTTTTTAAACCCTTTCGATTCTCGCAGGTAAGCAAAGCTTATCCCCTGAGGAAAAAAAAGTCAGAGAAAATCCCACACATATAAAAAGAACTTGACAGAGGTTCCACTAGCTTTAATTAAAAACAAGACTTTAAAAAGGGGGGGAAAATCATGACTCAGGAATTTTGAGTATTCAGGACAAAGTCATCAGTAACATTTTAGACCAGGGGTCTCCAATCTTGGTGATTTTAAGGTTGGTGGACTTCAACTTGCAGAATTCTGAGAGTTGAAGTCCGCCAGGCTTAAAGTTGCCAAGATTGGAGACCCCTGTTTTAAATGGAATCTTCTACTGCAGAGCAGTGACAGCCACCCATCTCTAAAAAGTAAAACTTACCACATAACTGTGAGAGCCACTCTGCTTGGACACAGCCGCTTGGTACTTAGCAAGCCTATCCTTGATGGATGTTTCTGAAAAGCGAGGTATTTCTAGGTTTCTCCTGTTCTCTGCTTTCTCTGGGCTTGAAACTGCAGAGGAATAAAGCAAATTATCTAGAACCATATTTTTCAAACTTTTAAGGTTTAAGATGTGTGGACTTCAAATCCCAGCATTCCCCAGACAGCATGCTTGAAAGTTTTGAAAAACACTGATCTTCTAGAATAAACATACACAGCTGCTGATACCGAGACCCATTGTAAGAGATTGAAAACTTCAATCTGGTTAACACAACAACCACTTCATAACCCAGGTGGCCAAAGGGCATGGATTAGTTCCAACTCAAAATGTTTACCTTAAAGAAAGAACTTTGCCCTATTTAAAGATTCCTTTGGTTTCTTTACTAATTTAAAACTAAATTATAAGCAATAGCATCAGATCTGGATGTGAGTAGTACCAGTGATGAAATTCAATTTTTTTTACTACCAGTTCTGTGGGTGTGGCTTAGTGGGCATGACAGGGAAAGGATACTGCAAAAGCTCCATTCCCACCCCACTCTGGGGCCAGCCAGAGGTGATATTTGCCAGTTCTCCAAAATACTCAAAATGTCCGCTACTGGTTCTCCAGAACCTACCTGCTGAATTTCACCCGCGTACCCTTTTGAAAACAAAAAGATGACCAAAATAAAATAACAAAAATACAAGTTGGGGAAACCACATGATTTAGATGCTTATGCTTTTGGCTCCCCCATTCCCATTTGAGAAATGTACGAGGTTATTTCTGAACTTACGTATCATCCAGAACTGGAGTTGAAGTGGTTGCTTGGGAGCACAGGACTGAGGTTCATACAAGCACAAATTGTACTTTATGTCACCCAATTACAAATAGTACAAATCACACTTGACTTAAAAACTGTCCCAGTTGTCTAGTTTGCCAAGAAAAACAGGAAAGTCCTGCTGCTTCTGCTGTGGCATGGCCACATTTTGTGTAATTACTACCCCGTTTCCCTGAAAACAAGAGCTCCCTGGATAATAAGCCCAATCAGGCTTTTGAGCGCATGCGAAAATATTGCAACACAGCAGCAGCCCTGAGGTGATCACGCTCGCCACCTCCTGTACCTCAAAAATAATAAGACCTCCCCCAAAATAAGGCCAGGTGCTTATTTCAGGGGTCAAAAGAAAATAAGACCCTGTCTTATTTTCAGGGAAACAAGGTATGCCACCACAGTTAATATGAGTGTAATTTATATCTATCAACAATTATACTGTCATATCTGTGGAGACCTGTCTCTACGCCAAAGAAAAACATACAACCATGTTATCTCTTTTGCACACAAGGATATAGCAGTTGGTAGTGACCGCAATCCCCAAAGACATTTCCATTTTATCAAAGGGATGCATTAATATCCTGCCTTCAAGTAAACAGAGGTCATCACAAGAAGTCTGGTTTAGTAGTAGAGTAGCTATGAATATGTGGAAGTATCGATACTGAAGATTACATATTTTTTAAAGAAATCCAATTGAAAAGTCAAGGACTACCCGAACATAAATCTTGCATATTATAATGATCAGGCACACAGTTTCAATATATTAGCAATATATAAGCATTTATCCTATATTTTTCTTTTAGCTGCTTCATATAAATTAATTAGATATATTTGCATTTTAAGTTGTTTAATATTTTGAGGTGCCCTTCTTCTTTATTAAAAGGGTGAATACTGTGCTTGCCATTGTACATATAGGAGTCATCCCAACTATATTGAATACTAGCTGACAATCTGGCGCTGCCCGGGTATTTATTTATTCCAACCCTCCTTCTATGAATGTCGCCACAATTTCTAATGTTGGATTTACCCCCTTACCAGATGGAGCCCCCTTGTGGAATACTGTGAAGCCGTTACCATGGCATTTCCACAGTGCTGCAAATTAGAAGCCATTTTAAGGCAGTACGGTAGAAGCCATTTTAAGGCACAAAAGGCTGTATCTTAACTCCTGAGGGTGTTAGGAGTGTCTTACCCCCATAGTATTTGTTTCCAAAGGGTAAATAATCTGTGTACCAGGTTTGGTTGAAATTGCTCGAGGCGTTCCAGAGTTATGCTGGAACAATACACACACAAACACAAAGCCATTTTTATATATATATATATATATATATATATATATAAGGAAAAAAGCTTGCTCACATGAAGAATTGTGGCTTCTTTCTCCATGAGGTAAGTCGAGGTCCTCTGAAAAGAAGTGGCTCTCTGAGAACACTCTACCCTCAGCAGTTCTGCCATGGTCATGAACAACCTGCTTTAAAAAGGAAAGATTTTCTGTTTATTATTTGTTTAGTCACCAAATGAAGAGAAGGAAATAGGAAAGTAGAAGCAAGAAAGATCAACAATATCCACGCAGCAAATGAAGATGTTCTTTTCTCTCTCAATGAACTCTAAATGTATGGTAACCACTAAGAATTTATTCAAGATGGTAAACATGAATTTAGTTGGGTTGACTGTACAGGTAGTCCTCGACTTGTGACCACAATGGAGCCCAACATTTGTGTTGTTAAGTGAGACAGTTAAGTAGGTTTTGCCCCACTTTACGACCGTTCTTGCCACAGTTGATAAGTTAGCAACCTGACTGTTAAGTGAATCTGGCTCTTCCCCGCCCCCCATTGGTTTTCCTTGTGAGAAGGTCGCAAAAGGTGATCACATGACCTTGGGACACAGCAACAGTCATAAATATGAACTAATTGCTAAGCATCTGAAATCTGATCACATATCAGGGGGATACTGTGATGGTCATAAGTGTGAAAAGTGGTCATAAGTCACTTTTTCCAGTGCTGTTGTAACTTTGAATGGTCATTGATATGAACTGTTGTAAGTTGAGGTCTACCTGCATTCATTTCATGTGAAATTCTAGGTGCCTGAAAATTGTTAGATCCAAACCAAGATATGTCAGGAGATCTGGCCTGAGGGTGCCACTCTGTCTTAATGGGCTTTTACTAAGGAACCCTTAAGAAGAAATAAATGTATATATCAACTTAATTTTCATTGTTTATTAAAGGAGGCAATTATATTTTAGGCATTTTTGTGTCCAATGGCAGGAACACATTTGCCGTGTGAAAGTTCTATTTTACGAATTAGAATTGAATATATCCTGACTCAAAATTCTTTAATGTTGGTTGTTAAGAAACGAACAGTCCCACAAATTCATATATCCAAAGTCAAAGCTTCTGGATATAAGCTGCCAATAGAACCCCAGTATATTTTTAAATTCCTATTTTGATCCTTTAGCAGAAAATACAGCAACTGCATTGGCATTCCATGTTATTAAAAATGGCATATCATTTAGATATAGTAAAAAAGAAGGTTAAAATACACACAGGCATACATAAACATATTTCCCAACATCACCTCCTTTACACACAACATCCAATGATCTCAATGAAGATAACCACATGACAATAAATAGCAGTGGAATCCTCTTAAATCTAATTAAAAAATCTGAGTGAATCCATAGGCCAAAAAAACAATCAACAGATTAATCAACAAAGCCATTGAGCAAATTCATCAGTGAGAGATGTTTTATTTTAAAGCAGTTTTGATTTTCAAATAATCTTTTACCGTAATAGGAAACATGGAGGGATTGGGGGGTGGGGGTGGTGGTGGAATAGAAATAATGTCTTTCCAAATTGAGAGAGATGGTTCTTGTTAAACTTCACACTGCGACACTTAATCAAAACACAAATTTTAGCAATAAAGTCCATTTTTTATACAGTGCATGCAGACATCAAATAGATTCGGTTTCATTAAAAATGAAAGCTCAGGGATTGCTCTAATTTCTCAAGAGCCATTTCTCCTGTGCTTATTAAGATGCTGTCAGCAGACAGGAATTCATCTGGGCATGCATTTTTCTATACTCAAGAAGGGAAGCATTAGGCAATAGAATTGTAAGCCAGAGCATAAGTTCCAGAAATCACAGCGCTGCAGAGAATCAGAAAGCATGTGAAAGAAAGCAAGTGACACACCCTACATACGGATATCACACACAAGTACCGTATATACTCGAGTATAGGCCGACCCGAATATAAGCCGAGGCACCTAATTTTACCACAAAAAACTGGAAAAGTTATTGACTCGAGTATAAGCCTAGGGTGGGAAATGCAGCAGCTACCGGTAAATTTCAAAAATAAAAATAGATACCAATAATGTTTTTGAATATTTATTTCAAAGAAAAACAGTAAACTAGCGGTGTATTCAATGAAATACTTCACTCACCTCATGATGCTGATGTCCCGCTGTGATGATGATGTCCCATGCAGCCGCGGGAGCGATGTCCCGCCTCCTATGACACACGGCACAGTGATTCCTATCATTGGATCACTGTACCAGAGGAGGTGGGACATCGCTATGTGGCTGCTTGCCATAACAAGGAGGAGGTGGGACATCGTTGCAGAGCGGCAGGAGGGGGAGGAAGGGGAATCGTAAGACAGCCCTGCATTACATTAGAACGTGAGGAGGGGGGATGGTGCGGTGCGCGCTGCGCGGCAAACTGACACAGAGGGAGGGGAAACTCAGGGGCGCTGGGCCATTCACGAGCGTCACCCAGCGGCATGGCCCCGCCCCTTTTTCTCTTCCATTTCGGGCAAATTTTTCACTGACTCGAGTATAAGCCAAGGCGGCTTTTTTCAGCCCAAAAAGTGGGCTGAAAAACTAGGCTTATACTCGAGTATATACAGTACTTCCAAGGTAGTGAACAGCCTTTGTAAAAAGTTTAGAACCAACAAGAAAAAGCATTTCATTAGAGGAAAGAATGAATGTGTGGATGCTGACATTTGGGTATATGTGCGTGCATGCATGACAGCAGAAAAATCATAATGTCCTGAGCCCCTTATTGTCACCAATAGCAGAAAGGATATAGGAGACAGATGTGCTGACTTCAAACTAATCTGACTCAAAGAATTGCTTGTGGATAAAAGTAAAGATGTTTATGGATTTTGTTTTTCTTGTCACCCATAGCTTAAGGAAAAGCAAGTCTAGAAATCTACAACAGGAAAAAAGGAAAAAAAAATATTTATTTCTATAAATGTATTGAGGGACTATTAAGATGGACATCAACGTCCATGGCTCTTCCACTTTCACCACAGCTTTTCTAAAGCTGCTATCTTATTTTTCAGAATATAAGACGCAGCAGAGTATAAGACGCACCAAGATTTTGAAGAGGTAAATTTTAAAAAAAGTTTTTGCAGTCTGCAGACCTCCCAAACACTCTGCATGCCTCATCTTTTGTGGAAAAACAGTATATGCAGAGAGTTTGAGCGGCTTGCAAAATGCCCCTGGGGGCTTGTGGAAGGGGGCAAAAATGGCCCGTTTTTTGCCAAGGGCATGAATAGCCTTTAGGAGGCTTGTAGAGTGCTCCTGGGGGCTGGAGGGGGGGCAAAATGAGGGGAAAATGGCCCATTTTTTGCTTGTTTTTGTCCTCCTCAGCCCTCAGGAGCACTTTGCCGGCTTCCCAAACCCTCTACATGTCCATTTTTGTGAAGGGGGCAGAGTTTCAGGAGGTCAAAAATGCCATATTCAGTGTATAAGACGCACCCAGATTTTCACCCTCTTTTGGGGAGGTAAAAGGGTGCGTCTTATACTCTGAAAAATACGGTACTTACCATCTAATAATTTTTCCTTCAATACTGTAGTCACAGCAAAGAAGTCCTGTCACATCTAGAATTCTAAAATACAGGCTCAATGTTGCTCACAAACTGAAAGGACGTGGCATCGTATTTTTAAAGTAAAGCAGTTTTCTGCTTCATTATGCTTAGGTAGGAGTCAGCCCTAGATGTTTAAAGCAGCTAAAGGAAAGAGTCCCTATGGGTACAATAAATAAGGGCTCTGATTACCTGGAACAATCCAACGAAGTTTACACAAAACTCATTTAGACCTTAATGAAATTCTGTGGAAAGGAAAAATAAAGCTACATTGTACAGTTTTAAGAACTGCCCGTCCTCAGCAAAGTTATATGGGAAGGTGTGGTAGAATTTATGTGTTGATTGTAAAAGACATGTGCCATTGCCCAAAGGATAGCCGTACTACTAAACCTGCAAATCCTCTGTTTTGTGTAATAGCTAAACTATCATAATTGTCCTCCCAGGTTGCATGATCCAATTTAATTCACAAGACTAAAAAAAAAAAAAAGATTACCAATGCAGTTGTTCTGACCTAGACTTCCTGATACAGTAAAAAGCACACGCTTAGTCCCAAAATTATTCAAAGTCTGTGAATTATATTCATTCACCGCCCGTAATGAGTCCCAAATAGGTTGTAAAGAGTCCAACAGTAGCCTGCCAAAGTCTTTCGGGATAAGGCTAATAAGCACCCACCTTTATCTCCCTTGAAACACTACCAAAGACCTAATTGGCAATTAGCTTGCAAGGCCACATGGAGGAAAGAGTCAAAACAGAGCTTCAGAATTTAAACCGACCAGCACAAACAAAACTGCTTCCTGCAAAGGCTCATATGCCTTTGCTCCTCCTTTATGTCCTATGGGAGGGCTAAGTTGTCTCTTTTGTCTTAACTGTTCTTGCCTTCTGGCAGCTCTGCCCATCGCACACTGGGAACAAGCTCCCCCTGTTCCTCTGCCTCACTGATGTCTAACTCTGGAGGCTCCGGAGGCAGCACATAACTCCCAGATGGCCCTGGCCCCCTCTCTGCCACTGATGCAGAGCCTTTGTCTGACCCTTCTCCAGACTCCAGGACTGGCCCATGTTCCTCCCCAACCTCCTCACTATCTAACTCTGCTGCCAGCTCTGCAGGCCGCCCACGGACCACGACAGCAGTCATCTTTAGAATAATTACATATATAAGCCAATGCCATTTGACTATGAGATACAAACTGTTTAAACTTTCAAAAAATATTTTAATGATCAATTCTCAGCTCAGGTATCAATCCAGAATTTTTAAAAAGAATTTCACAAGATTTTATGTGTTTGTTTCAATCACATGTACCAGATTATTTCCTTGGTACATCGATGCTCCTATTTTGCAAATACAGTTTGCATTAAAAAGGTCATGGGGTATCAGATAGGACTGGGGGTAGATATATTAATTTTTATTATAATAAGATATTTTATTATAAAATATCTTAGACATTTTAGAACTTACTACTTTTTAAAGGAGGATTTGACAGATAGACAAAGTATAGAGGGATAAGGTGTAGCATAATCAAGCAAAACAACTTCCTAAAGTATTTTTGCATTAAATGTCTTGGTCTATTTTGCAGAAAACACACATTGAGATTGAGCTTGCATTGTCTTC